AGGGGCCCCTGCGCGGCGGACCCCGGGCCCACGGCGACTCCGCGGAGCGCAGCCCGCCCTCTGCGGGGCCCCAGTGCGGGGACCCAGATCCCCTTTTCCAAAACCTAGGGGAGCCCGCTGGCCGCCGTAGAAGGGTGCAGCGGGCGGCAGGGTCTGGACGAGACTCCGAACCTCCTACTGGGTGTCGATGGCACCGCACCTCCCGCCACTTCCTCGCAGGTCCCCGGCCCCGTGAGCCAGCTGAGGGTACTTCAGACCCTCGGTCACACTAAGCGGGACGGAACCCCTTGGAGTCTGTTCCCAGGTCAGCGGTTCCTGGGCGTTTACGGCCTCCTCCTACCCCTACTCGTGCGAAGCCCTTTCCTCCTTCCCGCCGTCCCCGCGCTTCTACCTCGGAGCAGCCAGACCCGATCCCAAGTCCACCCGGGGGTGGTGGCCCGAGCCCACACTCAGGGTCCACTGCGAGCTGCGCGGTTAAACATAGCCCCTCCGAGAAGGATCCGCTTGATGTGTTACCACCCACAAGTCTGGTTATTTCCGCAGAAAAAGCTGAAGAAAGCTCCCCTGCTACGTAGAGAACACGCAGAAGACAGCAGGTACTGGGAATCCAGGCTGCTGGAAACGCCACAGAGCTGATCTTAGCGAACGCTCACAGCAGACACCCAGAGGAGGCAGACCTTAGAGCACTGTGCCACGAGGAAACCGGACCTCCCTGAGCCCAAGAGCTTGCTGGGGGCCCCATAGAAAGTACCGAGCAGAGCTGGGGTTCCGAAGCGGATCACAGAGGTGGCAAAATTGCATAGAACTAAACACACACACACACACACACACACACACACACACGCACGAGCGCGAGGCACACGGGCAAAATTTGCATAAGGCCCTCTGTATTAAGCCGACTTCCTGGTTGTGCTGTCTTGCTACAGTTAGGCAAAATGTTACCATTGGGGGAAAAGTGGGCAGAGCATGTAGGGGATCTCTGTCATATTTTCCACAACTTATGCGAACCTGCATTCATCCCCACATAGTTTTTTTTAAAAAAAATGAAGAGCAGATCGTTTATTTTAAAATCCACATTCTTCTTCGGCGCAGTGTGCGCGACTGAATAAGCAAAAGCAGGTCCTGCTTCCCACTTTTTAAGTGCTTTCGGGTAAACACACTCACATGCAGTAAGCATGGTTGTCCAGTTACACAACAACAGCGCAGAGCGCTCACGAACCTGCTACCCCCATACTTACATAGGCGTCATCTTAGAAACAGGAGGAGATGTTCGCCGGGCACTCAGAGAGCCAGCAGTCTTAAAAGCTAAGAGTGAAGAGATGGTTTCTCTGTTCCACCTACTCAGCCATGGCAGCCTCCTCCTGCCAGTTATCACTCCAAGCATCCCCTTTTAACCTGCAAGAATCTTTCTGAAGGATGCATCGCTTGCTAGTTTAAAGCGGAGATGTCTTGGGCTCAGGAGACACTGGAGGTGACATTTGCTCGGTGGTGGAAGGTCAGACTTGCTGGCCGTTGTGTAACCAGAGAAACCCAAGCCACACTTTCTTGAGAGGAACAAATGGGGTGGAGTTAGTGTGGGGACTTGGAGCTGGGCCTCCTCCGGCTTTGATGTGGAGGAGGGGAAAGGCAGCTCTGCTGCCGCATGACCCCAGCACTGCGGAGAGAGCCCGTGGGCAGAGCCTTTCTTCAGCACAATGTGCCTGCATTTAGGGTGCTGGGTGAATGCTGTCTTCATCCAGACTAGAGTTTTGGAAAATCCATCACTGAGAATCCATCCCTTAAGCTTTCTCTGTTAAACAAAAATAACAGCATACACGGCACACAGGCATCCATTCTATATTGTTTGGGATACGAGCAAAAATGGAAAGAGATGTAAATATTGCCTAGAGATAACACCTTCTACAAACCAAATTTCGCCCTTGTCTGTTGCAGTTTATGTGCTCTTGCTTTTACCTCTGATTTTAGAGAGCATCCAAGATCCCCACAGTATGTGGATGTGACATTTTCCAGAGGTCTTCTGCTACATTTCACAGTGTTAATCTGAGTTTCTCACCTGGGTAAAGCTTTTAAAAAGTGAACTGAAGAATAATTGAGGGAAGAGAATGTTACTTCTTGTTTCTTCCTAAAGTAACTTTGTAAGATGTTTACAGTTAGGACAATAAAAATGAATTAGAGAGAGGAGAGGGAGGAGGGGAATGTGAATGACTGGCTATGAATGCACATTTGGGGGGATCTGAAGAGTATTTATCTGCTTTTCCTGGCCAAGGAAAGCCTACAGGTCTAACCAGTTTCAGTCTCTGTTCCCTCAAGTCATAGTTGGGTATACGTTATTTCATAGTCACAGAACAGCCAGAAACTTCAGTGGCAACTCCCATTGCCTTCCAGCTTCTCTCCTGGATGTCTTGTTGATTCCTCAGACCACATGAACTCAGCAGAATGCCTCAAGTAAGCCGGGGAGAGCCATCTGCTCAGAGCAGGTTACAGCTAACGGTGCAGTCCAGGGACTGTCTGGGTGGCAAAAAGGGATCTCTTACTCTTTCTAGGGTACAAAGGAGGGCGGAGGTAAGGATGGTAAAAGGAGGAAGGGAGAAATATGGGCTCAAGACGCACGTAGCAAGGCCTAGGAGTTTTGGCAGCAAGACATTGGTGGTAAGAACCCAGGAATAAAGCAGAAAAGCACAGGGTTTACTCTGGTGGAACTCTCCTTCAGAATTAGGATTTTCTCTTCACTTCTTGTGAAGTATATGAAAGAGGAAATGGATGCACATCTCAAAAAAAAACTAAAAGGGGGCTGGGGATTTAGCTCAGTGGCACAGCGCCTGCCTGGCAAGCGCAAGGCCGTAAGTTCGATTCCTGGTACCGGAAAAAACAAACAAACAAACAAACAAAAAGAAACAAACAAACAAACAAAAAAAAACCTAAAAGGAGCTGGACATGGTGGTGCATGCCTGTAATCCCAGCACTCTGGGAGGCTGAGGCAAGAGGATCCTTTCAAATTCGAGACCAGCCTGGGCTACAAAGTGAGCTCAAATCCTGCCTGAACTGCAAAGCGAGACCTTGTCTCAAAAAACAAAAACAAAAACAAAACAAAAGGAATGAACATCTCTTCTGTGCCCAGCACTGCTTTGGTGTTCAAAAGAAATGTCAACCTTGGTTCTTGTCCTTGAGGTTGAGGAATGTGTCATTCTCTCTTGGGGAAGCCAAAATATGCACACATGAGACGGTAAGGGAATGACATGAACTGGCATTGAATTCTAATGCTGTCCTCCATTTGGGGGATACACACATGGCAGAGAAGAGGACAATGACATTCCTAAAACATGGCTCCCATAGGTTACTCAGACCCTTGTCTTTCACTTCCCATCCTCTGTCTCCTTCCTGACATACAAGGCCCTGCCTGATCATGGCCCAGGTATTATCTTCACTGTCCACAGCCAGTGCCCTCTACTCCATTCACAGGGCCTCTGAGTCTTCCCTCTGCTGCTTTCTGCCCACATCACCAGTCCTATGACACATTTGCTGTCTTTTGTCTACTACTTGACCCGGAAGTTAAAACCAAACAGGAAGTGGTTACTGAACATACGTCTTTTGGATCCCGTGAGTTGGGCATTTAGGTGACTCCCAAATACTTGGTCCTCACAGGGAGAAGAGATGTTGCACATTGGGGAGTGAGGGTGGGGGTCTGATCCTCACTTTGGAACTATTCTTTTTTATGTGGTTGGAGTCTTGAAATGTTCTACTGTTCTAAAGTACCACAGACTACCCCCGCAGCTTCATTCAAAAGAGAAGGAAATGAAATTTTAGCTTAAGAAACATTGATGTTCCTTCCCCTAAACACTTAGCCAATGTGATATGAAACTTTTACTTTTTTTTTTCAAAGACCTCTGAATGGAAAAGGATGTAACAGTGTTTCCAAGCAAGACTACTTTGAATTTTCTACAATTTGATGGTCACACAAAATAAATGGGGACCTAGAGACATATATTTAAGCAGTTTTATCCAATAGAAATATAAGTCACATGGGTAACTCAAAATTTTCTAGTAGCCATGTCTTCAAAAAATAAAGACAGAGCTGGGCATGGCAGTGCTTGCCT